GCGTCGATAGCATTGAGGCCAAGTGCAAGACACATTCCGTTGGTGATCGTAAAGACACCACAGTCGTATCCGTTGGTCTGGATAGGAGCCTCATGAACGACAACCTTCCATTCGCTAGCCTTGTAGTCGCCGCCCAGGAAGGCCTGGACCCAGTTCAAGGCTCTAGTAGTATGCGTGGATGAGCCCGCAGGGTTGAAGGAATCCATATGCGATACGGTTCGCTTTTTGGGTCGGATGACGAGCAATGTCCAATGGTTGTTCTTACAGATCGGCATGAGAATCGTCTCCAGGTTGAGAAAGTTGTTCTTGTTGATTCCGTAACGGCGAAGTGCTCGTTCAGTGTTTTGAACACCATTCTCCTCCAGTCTCTTGTAGAAAAACGAGCCCATGGCGACACATACTCGGTTCGGTGCCTTCACATCCACGGCGCCTGCAGCCACATTGACGTATCGATCGAGCCATTGCAATGCGCCATTGACAATTTCGTCGTTGAGCCACACAGTTGGTGGGACTACCATGGCGAAGTCATGCTTCTTGAGGGGAACACTTTCAGCCGTCGTCGCGAGTGTCAGCGAGGGATTGGCTTGCATCGTGGCTTGCACCTTCTCAACCCATTCAGCCGGTAATGAGGTGACTAAAGGTCTTTGAGGAGCGCGAAGTCCACCCGTCTTCAATAGTCTCTCCTCCTTCGCTTGTCTAGCTTTCTTTTCCTCTTCTTCTCTTCGGCGTGCCTCGTCGACATCAAGCAATAGCTGCAGGGCGAGAGAGAGATCTTCAAGCTCCTCTTCTTTGTCGTCCGAGATGGTCAGACCTGCCAGGGTCGGGGGTGTAAGTGGGCTGGATGGGCAGGATGACAGGGTCTGCGGTTCGTCCTTGGCGAAGAATCCCTTAGCTTCAAGGCCATTCAAGGATTTGTGAAGATGCTCCAGCAATTGGGGCTGACAGCGAGCCGCGACTTCCTCGCTATCACTCTCTTCTGATACATCGTCAGATTTTGGAGCGACGCCTGAGTACCGATTCGGCATCGAATTGTTAGGGCCGTCTGACGAGCCGTCAACCTGAGAATCGCTCAGAGGGCTGGCATCAACAACGTGTCGTCCTAAAGGTGATCCGGAAACGGTAGGAGAGCCGAAAATTCGGCTAAGGAAGCCCCTTGATTTCGCCGGTGAAGGGGTAGATTGCTTGGTGGAGGGTGAGAATTGCACTCTTTTAAGACCTCTTGACTTCTGGAGTCGCTTCAGCGAAGCAGGTGAATGGTTGTCTCTTTTGAGGACAGAAATGGGGCTTGGTTTACAGACCAAGTCGTCAGGTACAACGCCTGAGGGCGCGTTCTTGTACCCAGCTCTGCGTTGGGATGCGATGTCGGCCAATTGGTCTCTGACAAACGTGTACGCTTCCGTAGTTCTTGCAGGAGGGTAGTAACTGCCTGGTTTTGTGATTTCCTGGGCGGGCGGGATCTGTCGTTGATCTGGGGCCTTGATGGAAGGTTCCGCCTCATCCGAAACTTCGATGTTGGTTTGGATTTCTGGAAAGCTACCGGGCATTGCTATGTCGATCCTCGAGATCGGGTCCTCAGATACTTCAATGCCGAAGCTTTCACGCCCTCGGAAAAATTTTATGACCTTGCCAACCAAGCCAGCCCGTTGAACGAATCCAGGCATTGGCTTTCGACTAGCCAGAGCGGCTAAGTCAGCACTGAGTCCTTTGATAATGCGGCGTGAGACGCCAGCCTCAACCAGCACAGGATTGCATTCGTCAGGAAAATGCTCGAACAGGCGCTGAGCCACGGTAATGGCAAAGTTTTCATCGGGGCTGAAAGTATAGTCCATGACCGACTGGGGGACCTTGAAGTTCGTCTTCAGACCCGTCAAGAACGTGTGAGAGTAGACACTCTCAACTATCCAAGCAGTTTGCCGGAAAGTATCAAGGTATGGACCGAAGACGTAAATTTGCTGCTCCTGGGTTTGGTCGTCCAGTCGAGTGACAGGGGACCCTTCCCTGGATTGCGATCGCCTCTTTTCGATTCGGTGGCAGATACTCCTCAAGGTGCGGACAAGAGGGGCTATGTGGTGCCAGTAAGCAATTCGTGTCGATTCATCTACCCATATGAGGTTGGTTTTGGATGATTCCGTATTTGGAGTGAAACTCTCATCGGCAAAATCATCGACAACCTCCAACTTGATGCGCTTTGTACCAGTGTTGCCACTCTGCTGACCACGGGAGAGCCGTTCTACAGCGATAAGGTTATGATTGCGGGGGTACACTGTGACTGAATTAGCACGGGTTCGTGATTGTCTTTCTGAGGAAAGCTAACCATAGCCAACAATGCTGTTGGAGACTTTTGTGACCGTGCCACGGACTGATGTCATGATATTGGTGAGCCAGTTCGTATAAGCTCGAGGTCTCTTTCACAAATGATTAGCATCAGCCCTGATGTAAGATTACCAAACAACGTACGTCTTCTTCGTTTGAGTCCAAAACGGCAGCACCTCGAGCGTTCGCGAGCGGCTCCTGCAGAGGCTCTCTCCCATCCGTCGCATTCGCCAGGATGAGGTCGAACTCTGAGTCCTCAGCTGGTCGCTTTCGTGTCGGGGTCGTGGTAGGTGAGCCTTGGTCCAGAGCCCGTGATTCGTGTTCTATAAGTTGAACTGTGATCGTCTTCTGGCGCGACCCCCGAACAAAGATTCTTCTAGTTGCTGAACCGTCGTTCACTTCTATGAGTGTCGGTTCGTTAGGAGGGATGATGATTGTTTGTTGGTCTGGGCTGAATGACCAAGCACCCGGGGGCACCGCGGATGGCGAGCTGGATTCCGAAGTGGATTCCCAACTGGACTCAGTATCCTCAGACTCGGACTCGGCTTCTGAGTTATAGTTGCAGAGATGAAAGCTCGAGAATGGTTGGGAGCACTTTCTCGTGGAGACGCTTCCGATAGCAGTATGATTACCCTGGATTCTTTGGGCTGGCTTGGGAACTGGACCACTCGGGCCAAAAAGATTGGTTCTTCCCTCTTGCCGGATAACGAGATCCTTCAATCTGCGGCGGCGTGCTCGATAGGCGGCGACGTGAGAAGCTGGGGATGGCTTGTGTAAAGTAGGTTGGTGCCGAAGATTCGCGACGATATCAAAAGCCTTCGGCGCAGGTCTGAATAGAGTAGTTGCTGGTCTGAGATATGCGGACTGCTGAGATTTGGGGAAGGGTGTCGCTTTGATAGGAGGCTGGCGAATGAAGGGATCCTCCGCAGGGAACCTATTGTACTTTCGGTTCTTTGAGGGGCTCAGTCCTGCGCTGCGCGCTTGAGCACGGAATCGCAACTTCTTGATTTTCGCTGCAGCCGGTGTGAAGAGAGAGAGGCCGGTAGTTCCCGACGATCGCGTGGAAGGGTCGGCTCCGTTCTTCAAAATTCCACGCAAGGGCTTTCGATCTCTGTGAAGCGAATGAACAGTCTTGGCTGAACAAGAAGACTCCCCAGCGTTCTTAAGCGTAGCGTCTGTCAGGTGTTGCGCTTCCTCGGCCTTCTGGTGCGCAGCTTGAGCAATCGGCAACTGCGCGACTGGAACCTGGGTGTGGACGATGTTGGGGATGTGGGTAGTTTGAGTATAGGCGGTCAGTTGCTGAGTAGCATTAGTACCGAAGAGGGAAATGCGGTGATTGAGGCCTGGGTTGGCGAGGGAGTTGACAAGGGGAGTTTGTATGGGGCTGGGTCTGTAAGTTCTGGACTTCTCGATCTCGGGTGATTTTTCTCGGCGATGTCTGAGAGGATTGAAGAAGTCGACTAGTTTTTGAGGGTTCGGGGGGAAGCCTCGGCGACTCGGTATCTGCTGTTGGTCTGGAGCCATGTTGGTTAGCTTGGAAGGTGCGAGGCTTGAAGATGAAGTAGAAAGCATCGTAAAGGTCAACTTTGACCAGGCGCGAAAGAAAGCGGGCGAAATGAAAGGTGCGACGAAGCGAAAAACTTGAATTCCGGGGTGTTTACTGTGCTTCTGAAGCTGCGCGATCAGGAATTGGTGCGAAGGCGCTTGGCTGGATCGGAAGGCGGGTTGTGTCACGATGCTAGAAATCGGTCGTGATGGAAGGTTGAAATCGGTTGCAGGTGGGGGATCGGGGAGGAGTTGGGGGGGCTCGAAAGGCGACGCGCTCTTTTTGTTGTGGAAGAAGAAGGTTCACTGCTGTTCATTGAAAAAGATGTTCAATGTAGGTAGCAACGAGAGGTCGAAAAGGCATGCGCGCCTCAAAGGGTTGCACGTTGGAGGAAGGAAGGTGCAGACGGCAGACACGGTGGAGATCGAATTTGAGAATGGAAGTTGCGATGCAGGTGGTGTTTACCTAAGAGACGTAGATTATGTATGTACCTAGGGTACCTTCCCTACGACCAACCTACCAACTTAACCTAGGTCCCCGCTGAGGTAAGATCCCTAAGGTGCCTAAGCTTCATTCTTCTGGCAGCTCTGTTGCCCGCCCCACTAGCTCAAGAGGTGCGCACCCGACGCTTCAAGCAGCGGAAGGAGCCAAACAGCTTCAAAAATCGACATATTTATTTGTTGATAAATAAGGTAGATTCATCGCAAATGGGCTACGGCCTTACTGAGGTAAGGTACCTTCAGGCAGCTTTCGTAGATACGGTCCCTGCTCACCTTACCTTACCTACGCATCTAAGTCCCCTTCTTTTCCGTCTCAAACTGCTTCTACTTATATCCACCGGCATCCGCTGTAACCTCCGCGAAGTAGTGATTTCCGAGTATGTGTTTTGCACTTTCTAATCGATGAAGAGGTAGTATGAATTTCTTTCTCATGATCAAATAATTTTGCAGGCGGTGCTATGATGTCTATCCATCCTGAAAGGTGAAATCGGAATAGTCTACCCTCCCTTGCAGAATCAAACTCATGTTTCGCTCCAGTACGCCAGTAAGTAGTAGCCCAAGTCAGTACATGTACACCAACTTCTCTGAAAGCCTCTCCCGAAGCACCGCCACACACTCTTGTCCTCCCTTACTCGAGTGCATCACAGTTGGGCTAGCGTCTCCCCGAGCTTCTTGGTGCAGAATGTTCCAAAATACTCGTTCAACGCATCAACCGTACCGCTGCCTTCCACCAGCTTCGCAACCATACCGACGTAACCATCAGGACGCACAACAACGACGCCACCCTTTTCCTCATCAAGTCCCAGCTTGGCGTGCGCAGCAGCCTTAGCGTTCGGCACGTGGCGGTCCCATCTGTCATCGGCGTATACATGATCGCGGTACCGCCCCAGTACCTCCGGGACATCGCGCGAAATCTCGATGCTGCTTCTCTTTGCCGAAAAGATGGTGCAGAACGAGAAGAACTTGCTGTGAGGGTTGTGCTGCTCGTGATGTGACACGCTGTCCACGTCTTCTCTAACATAGGCGGCGTAGAATGAGCGCTTGTTGTTGAGGTGACCGGCGAAATCTCCGAGGGCCTTGCGAGTGGTTGAAGGCTTTCCAGCAAAGACGAAGATGCGGAAGGAACCGTTGAGCGGGATTTCTTGCTCCAGATGGACAACATTGGCATCGACAACCCTCGTAACGTCGGAGTTCATGAACAGGCGGCCAGTGCGGAGCTTCGTACCCTCGGGATGGATCAAAGATGATTTTGCCCGGTGCGATTCGGACCAATTCAACACGTTTGGCTTGTAGGCCACGCCATAACCGCTCGTGAACTCACAAGACTCCTTGAAAGTTTTGATGAAAGCGTTTTCGGACTGCTCCTTGCCGGCGTTCTCGGTAGCCGCCTGAGCTTCGCTTGCGGCATCGGGTCGTTGAGAGAACAGCTTAGCGTACCTGTTGTCGAAGTCGAGCAGCGTCTCAGCCACGTCTCTTCTCTCAGTCTCGTAGGTCTTGAGAATATCGCGCTGTGCGAACCCAGCCTCGACGGCGTGGATCTTCCAGGCTAGGTTTTGGGCGTCAAGGAACGCAGTGTTCATGCCTTGGCCGGCTTTGGGCTGATGCTCTAGTTAGTAAAGAAGCTTGTTTCCGGTCTTGTGTGTATCACATACGCTGTGGGTATGGCAAGCATCGCCTCCAAGGAACACCCGCTGATCAAGGGTATAGCGGTCCGAAATTCCTTGCCCGATAGGGTACACTGAATACCACTCCGTTCTCTCCCATTCAATGGAGTACGGCTGAAGAATCCGCTGAGCCGACTCCTGCACTTCTTGCTCGGTCGCCGTCTTGCGTGGGTCGAAGTCCGGATCCGTCGAAGATGCAATCTGAATGTATAGACGGACCATGTTGTCCTCTCGGGGAATGACCATGATGGAACCGTGCTTACTATGGATTGTGCATTTCATCTACTCCGAAATCAATATGAGACGCAACAGAATCAACCTCAGCAAGTCTGCTTACCTTGATATCGGGGAAGTCGGTCTTGACAACGCCATCCATGACACCCCATACGTAAGAAATGGGATCCTTGTGCTTGATGCCAATCTGTAATTGATTCCTAATAAAGGAACGAGCACCCTCGCCGCCAAAGAGATATTTGGCACGCAACGTTTCCTGGGCGGTCCCATCGACATGCTCAAGCTTAACCTCAACAGGGTACTCAGGATTTTCGGCCTCGTTGGATAAAAATCCTGTAATGGTCCAGGGTCTCTGAACCTGCACGCCGTTCTTCTCCAGGTCGCCCAGGAAAACGCGCTCGATATGGCCTTGGTGCAAGAGAGTCGTGAAGGGGTATCTGGCATCGATGAACTCCGGGCAACTCGCCCAGGTCCCAGTTCTGGCGATCCCGTTGCCCGATTTGGGCGGGTCCCAAAAAGCGACCTCGTAGACTCTGGCAGGCTTGTGGGCCATGATAGCCGACTTGAGGCCCATGTTACGGAGAAGGTCGAGAGAACGTGGTTGAATGCCGTCAGCTCTTCCAGTTGGTGTAGGTTCGGCTCGGTTGTCAATGTGCTTGATTCTATATCCCCACCTGGCTAGAATGGTTGACAGCATCAGGCCCACAGGCCCAGCACCTACGATGACTTTGGGAGGATATGTTAGCGTATAACTCAACGCGAATTCAGGTGGCAGGGACTTACCGATATCATAGTAGGTGCCTGGCTGGCGATCGGGTTGCGTCTCCATCGTACAAATAGGAAAGTATAGACTTTGGTCGAATCGGATTGGTAGAAGCAAGTCTACGAGAGCGGATGAGCAGCTCGGGGCTTCCAAATTTCAGTAAATAGAGGGGAATGTTGCGCCCAGAAGTCAGAGAAGGATGATGTCGTCTAGAGGAAAGTCTTTGGGGTAAGGGGAAAAGGCGGCGGGTTGGCGTTATATATAGAAGAAGACCGATTGGCGGGAAGATGTCAATCGGGGCATGGATGAAATAGACGGCGGGGAGATATCCGTGGACCACTGGACAGTGAGACCGATCCGAAGGGAACCAAGAGGCCGGCATCGACATCGGGAAGCAGATTGGGGACGGCAACGTAGGCCGGGAACTCCAAATCCCCACACTAAGGTGCCACTTGGGTGGCCTTTAGCAACCAGAGTCACGGATGTGGCCATGTGCGCCTCAAGCTGCCCACCAAAAGGGCCTCGAGTCTAGCCAATCAGGGGGTTATGGGAATAGGACGGCCATGTCATCCGTACAAGCCTGCATGCTTGACCCGTAGGCGTGGCAGGCACGTCATGGAGACACTTCCGAGGGGAGCCGGGAGGCTTTGCTGAGTGAGGCGCTCTCGCCGCTGAGTGAAGCTTTCACCTACTGATTTGGCCGGCTGGGCATCCCTGCTTGGGGGAGCTCAGACTCGATAAAAGAGACTCGGGTAGTCAAGTCGGCAAGTTGTCTGTGGGGTGGTTCAGATTGGTTCTTTTGGCTGTTGTACCTTTTCCTCAGCAACTTCCGCGATAAAGGGCCAAAAAGGCAGTTGGAGACGGCATCTGGGAGGTGGTCGGTACATGTTTCGGGACAGCTAAGCTTAGCTCATAACCCCACTTGCCCGACAGAACCCAATCATAGTCTAGCTCTTTCCAAGGATGGCTGTCTTGAGACTTGGGGTCCTCGGAAGTTGGAGAAGGCAAAGTGCGGGGAAAAGACGGTGCAGCTGCACCCCGAGGGCACTTGCCGCTGGCACCGACCGAACCGAAATGTCAATCGCAATGGACCTAGTGGACTGTGGAACGAAGAAGGAATGAACGACAGGGTAGGAGTTGACTCAATTTAGGTTACCTTGAGCACCTTGACTTTAGGTACCTACCTTACTCCGCGTGTCCGCTCAACTCCACCGTACTCAACTGCGTACAAATCAAATGACATTATTTTTGTCGCGGTGTGGTAATGCAAGGCGCTGTAGGATAGCACACGTGACTGCGGCTGATGTGTCCAGTTGGAAGGCGTCACGATGGTGACGAGGAATTGAGGTAAGGTAAGTGCACAGCTCTGTACCTTATGGACTACTTATCTACTCAGTCAAGGGAGCCCATGCACTACGGATCGAATTCGCAATGAGTTACAATACCTTACCTTACTTCCTCGTCACCAGCTAATAGAGCTTGGAATCGCAAGAACGTTCATGTTGGAGCCCCGCAGTCGCGTAGGATACAAAGTTTGGACGGAAGCTGTCCGAAGAAGCCCCTGCCTAAGTAGACACCATCAAGCCCTTCAGAATGTGTCGTTCTGCATTGTCAACGGCCCTCCTACCACCACAAACATGTCGACTCACCAAACGAAATCCCCAGTCATGAACATACGCATGGACATAAGAGCGTTGCAGATTCTGCATCGTGTCATGGTTGGTGGTTCTACATGCTCCATGCGCTAGCCATCTATTCCGAGACGGGATCAACCTAGCACGAGGCTAGGCCTAGACGCCTGCTCTGCATTTGATTGCAATCAGCATGTCCTCACGACGTTAGAGAGAAACGGTTTGCCCCTATGGCAGTATTTTATCTCAGCATTGGGACTGAGACTAACCCGTACTGCTTGTGCGAGCCTACCTTATCTTGCAAAGGCGCAAGTTCGCCGTATGCCGTCTTCTTGCTCAGCGGAATGGCCTAGGTGTCACACCGTCATTCAGTTCGAGAGTGCGGGAGCTCCGAAAGCTTGATATCCGATAGGCAAGCTACAAGGATTTCTTTTTCTTGGATAGTATCGACATTTTGTGTCTGAATCTGGCGACCTCAAGACTTGTAATCCCCACCCCCCCCCCCCCCAAAAAAAAACGATCAGCACTATCAGTACCGCTGGATCTCACAGGCTTACCGTTGATTTGACTGAGAAGGGAGAAGGGTTCTTTCACTTGCTTCAAGTGAGGGCACTGTGGCTGAAGGAGAGCAATGTTTGGCTTAGCCAGCAACAGGCATGCTGAGAGAGCACCGCATGAGTTACAATCTGGGGGATCAGGTTTATGAGTCGCACGATTGGTCGAGTGGCCTGCCACATCAAGAGCAAAAGCTTGCTCTACCATTAAGATGCATTGGAGTAAGGTATTCGATGCTATTGAATATTAAACCCGGGTCGGGTTAGATGGCTTCCTACCCGGGTGAACCTTCCATTCCAGTGTATCGCCTGCGATTTGGGAACAGAGGGCGAAACACTTGCGCCTTCCAACCTCGAAACGAATGTGTACTTTGCTTAACTGCCTACCTTACGTACTTGCCTAACGATAACAATCACACTTGCCTTCTCTTTAATCTCTACGTTGGCCTGATCTCCACGTCTTCGTCTGCGAAGGTAGTGGAGGATCTCACATGTCTTTCCCTATAGCTTGCCTCCTTTTGTTTTCTTTCCCAAGCCTTGCCAAGAGCCCAATAATCTACATCACTGCAGCCCCGACAATACGGTCGATTTGCTACGACGGCGACGAGAACGTCTTCCCACGCGCAGCTGTATGCCGCTATGGCATAGAGCAAGTAGTAGACAAAGCCGCATCCCGCTCTGACAAATACCCCACAACGAGACGCACACCACCGTGTCTTAGCCGTCTGACCACTGCCGACCTTTCATTCTAGCTACTTCAGAGAAGCCCGGAGCAATGCGGAACCGGTTAAGCCTTCAAGCTTGGGTTGAGTCTATTCAAACAGCTGCACAGGCCGATGATGAGGAATGGTGGCGAAGGCTTGCCGAGATGGATAACGAGTTTGCCCAGGACACTCTGTCGCGAAACGGGTATGATGAAGGGAGTAGGTTGCCTCTGGTTAGTCTAGTATGCTGGATGTTTACTGAGGTATACGCAGAGTGTCGCAACGTCCTCGTAAGATACTGTGCACACATACCCCGGAACTATCAATACCGGGACGGTGTTCAACTTGTGAGTCAGGCACTCTTCGCTTTACTCTGCCAATACTGATACCTAGCTCACGCTTTCTATAACAGGTGTTTCTGGTTCTGCGCGAGCATCTCGGAGACGAAAATCTGGATCTAGCTGGTGGTGTGCTATACGAGTTGATCGAAATTGACTGCCAATATTCTGACGACCAAGGTGCTGAATTCCAACGTTGGAAGCATGATCATCTCAATCGACATGTAAGCTGGCAGCACAAATACACTGCCATCCGCATTTACTAACGCCAACAACGTAGTCCGACCTTGAGTTGCCCCATATACCTCATATGAGTACGATCACCTCGTCCATACGGCCCACAGTTAGTCTTGTGCGGTGGCGCCAGCAGCATCCGCATCGATATCCTACCAGACTTTCAGACTATTACCCGTCGACCAGGGTAAGCTCGAATGAGCCCAGTTGTATACGCAGTCGCAAAGCTTGGATGATTGACCATACTATGTACGTTTCCACCCGTGAGGGTGGCACCTGTGCTTTTCGCAGTCCCAACCCTACAGAGCTGCATGAAATGCAATGGCAGCTTGGCACCAGGAGGGCTGGCAGGTTTATCAAAGAAGAAGAAGTTATCCTGGCTACTTCGATTCACCAAGGGGCGGAGACGAAAGTCTTGAACGACAGTCCCGACGACGATGATATCCCTGTGGACAGATTAGACATCAGAAAATCTCTGTCTCTCCTCCGTGCGCTCAGAAAGAAAAGAGACACTTCGACGTCTCCAGATGCCGGAGGACCGCCACCTAGGAGCAAACGCCTCAGCTGGTTCACGAATATGTTTGGACTAGAGACCGTTCTCTCCTTTAGAGAATCTCATGATCCGAAGCCTGTACCGCTGCCCGAAGGCTGCGTGGCGCCGCATGCCATTTTCGCTAGGAAATTTTCCTTGATAGCCGACAGTCAGCCTCTGCCGTTGTCGATGTCTCACGAGATGATGCCAACAGCGGATATCAAAGCCAGAAAATTGCTGGCGGATGCTGCCGTACAGGGGTTGATGGGCACTTCCTAGGAGTTTCGTGGCCCATTCACGCCTCAACTTGGCTTTGATGGTGGACTAGACTATTGGTGGGCCTTTGTTGACCATGCTGCTGCGCCATCCCGCGCAAACCGACTCCTATCTCACGAGACAGCTGCCGGTTCTCGTAGGCAAAGCGATGTGACTTCCCTCAAGCAAACCAGAACACCAAAATGCCAACGCGGTCATGACTGGTTCGGACTTGATATCGCTACTCCAGAGTCCGATATTCAAAGACAGAGTCCCCATGCGCGGAGCAGCGGCGTCGATAGGTCACCAGGCATGGGTTATGGCGACTCCATGAAGCGTGACTGCAAATACCATCCTCTCTCTAGCAGTAATTGGTTCGGCCTGGATGGTACCGCAGACGACGATGTTGGCGTGAACCCGTCATACCAAGATCGCGCCCGTTGCAAGAGTGTGGTGCGCACACCATGCGGGGTCGCCGCTAAGAGCGACGGATTACAAGCGCCAACAAATTTTCGTTCGAACTCACAGACCATCCGGTCTCCTGCGCGTCACTTGAGGATATGGCAGGATTCACCCAGGTTCTCCCACGCCGGCGGAGAGCGTGGTGTTCCTGATGATCGATGGCTGGTAGCAGGCAAACCAAGGATACACCCTGTCACCATTGTCGAGATCGAGACCCACAAACTGCGGCTTGCTCCATCAGTTGACCAACTTCGCGGCCCAACTGTTCCAGCTAAACTTGCGGTTCTATCCAAAATCTGTAGCCCTCCCGGTCATGACGGAGGCCGAAAAACTGCCAGGGAAGATATGCTTGGGAAAGCTCGAGAGCTGACCATCACGAAGCAACAGCCCGTCCTTCGTGACGTCGGACGGGGTTCTCGCTCCAGCGGGATGGCCTCAAGCGATCGATCGGAGAAGCTTTCTCGCTCCAGGACGTCGTCAAAACCAACTTTGTCTGAAGGGCAGGATGCCATTAAATCTAGTAGGTGTTTCCTGATATTCATAGGCTCGGTTGAGATCTTCGCAACTAACACGCGTCGCTCAAGCGCGGCACCAACCGTCGCTTTCGGCCTTCTACGCCTATGTTGAGTATGACGGTTCTCCCTCGGGCTCAAATAATGGCTCGCAAGTAGATGTTGGTGTTGTCCCGGGATCTCAGGCATCCTACAGCGATTATCAAGCGGGTTATGTACGGGCAGGGCAAGGCAAGATGCGATCATCTCTAAGCCTAGAAGAGGTCGCTGCCTCTGAGCTATTGGCGCGTCTCGGCACACAGCCACTGGAGCATTCTCTTCAACGTAGGTCTTTTGCGAGATGCGTGAGAAGATATGACTAATGCAAAGTAGCTGGCGGTGCGAGGAACCAGTCATTATCCTCGATGGAGCACAAGTCGGAGCCAAAAACTGATGATGTCTCGTTATCGGAAGACTCTAATGGGCCGCACTCCTCCCCAATGCTAGAAGGTAGATAACCCGTTGGAGTGAGCGGCCTTGGGCTACCATTCCTACGTTCCTGGCTGTCCTTGATCTCTTGTCGTTGGCCATCGTCATCCTTGATCCCGCTGGACCAGATAGTAGCTAAGTTGTGTATTCCAATCGAATAGACCAGCGCCCCGCCTTGGATCCGGCCGCACATTCAGTTGACCTGGAAGCCATTTTTCCACAAAGAGGTATGTAAACAAACACGCTTGCTTCATATTCCGGCAGGTTGCCACGCGAAATCCACTTCCACTTCTCCCAACGCTATTTTCTCCTCCTTTTTGGTTCTCACCAATGCGCTGAAAGCTGATTTTCTTCGTCTCAGACCCTTCATCTTTTCGCAGTCGGATCGAGGCTTGGATTTCAGAGCTTCGGACAAGTCAATTTGAAGACCCTGAGCTTGTCGGCCCATTTCCTCGGCTTGCCCTTCAAAGATCTCGCTCTTTGCTCCTGCCAATCGATCGACGTGCGGGACCTGACTTCCGCGAGGACTCATTCCGCTCAAGGGTTGGGAACCTCATCGAAACCAAACGCCAACGGAAATCCCGCTCTGTTGGCTCTCGAATCTCTGATCGGCGCCATACTCGAGAAACAACGTCAACGACATCGACTGATCTTCCCATCATGACACAGGACTCAGAGATGCCGGGAGGAAAAGGTCGAGTTGCGGTACCCTCCGCAATCAAGGGTAGCTTCATTCCGGTCTCGCCCAAGAAGCATCGATCACCGTCACCTCAGAAGCAAAAGCCGAACAAGTCAGTGCAAATCAATCTGAATTTGACTGAAAACCAGATGGACAGGTTGACCAACGTGTGAGTATTCCCTCCCAGGGGATGCAGACTTGAATCCGCAATTGACAAGCGACAAGGTTCAATAGTACAAGCGAGTCGCCATCTCGCCGTGGACGAGTGGACAACTTCAGTCGACCTAGGTCACCCGAGCGACGTATTGACGTCGCTGAAGCTCTCGCTGAACCCCAATCTTTGCCTCGGGGTCATGGAAACCCTCACCATCAAAAGTCTGCCAACAAAGCCAAATCCCACCACAGGCCTCTTGGGGAGGGCCACGAAAGCGACTCCACTACTTTCTCGGAGTTGATGCCGAGCTCACCTCCCAAGGGACACAGGGCCAAGGGCTCTCTGACATCAAGTCTCGCCGAGCGTCGCCAGCAACATACACCTAAACCTGTCAACGTTCAAGACAGTCGTCAGTATGGGTCTATCGTGGAGAATGCTGGCGGCATGCCCTCTGTCCGTCCGCCTATGACCCCTGATAGCCCTTCTTCTGCAGGAACTGTCCAAGCAGAGTCATCCTCTATCTACTCTCAGAGTGAAGGCCATCCGAGCCCTCTCCGGATTCAGAGAGACGACATCCCGCGACACATTAAGCATGTGTTAGAGTCGTACAGCGGCTGGAAAGATACAAAGGCCCCCGCGCTCGTTTCCGATACGAGCGGTCGCGGAGGGAGTGCTCAAGGCCGTGGCCTGCCCAAAGGTAGATTGGAAGCTCTCAAACAACCAGTCATGGACGCAAGTGACATATACTCTCCTCTACGGCCCTACTTCGCCTATAAGGAACTTCCCGTACAGAGAATTGCGGGTAAGACCCTGATTGGCGAGCAAGGATGGCTTGAGCGACCCGACAACACTCCCGACCGCAAGAGAAAGGATGGGTCTCCAAAGAAGCCCGGACTTCTTGACTACCTCAAGAAGATTGCCAAGGAAATGGTAGAAGTCCCTGCGCTTCAGCGTCCGTATCTCGAGTCATCTAGCTAACCAACTGACAGACTGAAAGCAAGACTACTTGGAAGCCTAGGGATATTGAGAGAGAGACGAAAGTCCAGAGAGTCACGATCTCTCTCGACCCCCGTGAGCAGAGTCTTCTTTACTGCGAGCTTGAGTTCCATATCAGTAACGCACTGCATGCTTACATCACGAACGAGCTGAACCATGGCCGTCTGAATCCTGACAAACTCAAGAAAATCGCCGATGGATGGACGCAGAAGGGCCGTCCAAGAGTCGTGGGATTTCGCTACGACCTTGAAACCCAACTCGATCTCGTCCATCTACACATTGACGAGTTCCGGTTCTTTGGCCGCCGTCAAGGCAACCCGATTGAGATCGCTGGTCTGCTTCACGCGATGAAAATCAACGCACGATCTTTGCGCATTCGTACTTACTGTCAGCCTGATTCCGTCATTGCTAAGCAACTCGTTGACTCGCAATCGCTCTGCAACACTATTGGATGCTCAGAGGCGCAGCAGATAGCCATTGCTGAGATAGCCCAGTTCTTCAAGGTCATTGTGGAGAGGGAACGGGCTTACCGAGCCAAGCTAGATCGCGATAACTCTGCGCATACGCTGCCGCATGGCCAGGGTGATCGTCAGTGGGTACCTTCCAGGGAGCTGATTGAGGGCGCGGATCCCTACGGTGGGCTTCACTTGATCCCCGACGGTTATGATGTTGGTAAGGAAACCCTTCGGTACAACAACTGAGCCGTCACAGTCTGGCTCTTTTCGGTGCTGCAGAGCTAACAACAACTGAAATGGGGTTGACAACGTCTACGAGATATCAAAGGTGCGGTTGACGGGTAAACGTTGCACGGTATGGGACGGAAGGGAGATGGATGCAAATCAGTTGGTCTTGGGGCTATGCGCCTTACTTATTGTCTGCCGTTTGAGCTTGGCTTGCTTCAGCCAGCCGTTGCTTTGCTCTTGCTGCTTGATGCCACATGTGATACGCATTACGAACTCGCCACTACTTCTGTGGCAGTTGATGAGGATGAGGATATATGGCACGGGTTCTGTAGACCAAAACACATAATTGTGGCAAAGCTTTTGTTGAGACATTCGCAAAGAGAATGTATAACATGTGATATATCTGGCCTTGCTCCATGGAGTAGATTTCTCGAGGAAACCCCTCTGCTAAGAAGCTAGGGCCAAAGGACCGGCTGAGTCAGAGAAGAAATGAGAGCAGGTATAGGCTTGGTTCTTTCTATGGGCAAGCGAGAAGACACGCCCTGCGAATACATATCTAAGAAGAAGGGTAGGGATCGCCAACAAGGCAGATAAGATGTATCCACCTTATTGCAAACACAGCAAAGCAACCAAAGGTCCGGGGATCCGTCTGTCAGAAAGTATCCGGACATCAACCCATTATCAACGCAAGGAAAGAACTCGTTAGTCGTCAGGTCATAAAACGGGCTTCATTTACAACCAAGCCGGCGGTGAAGCTTGTCCCAGCAATCTCAATTCCTGTACGAATAGCGCTCTTCGCTCCGCAGTCTTCCGCCACGACGATCTTGATACCCATAGTCGGGGTATCCATCATTCCACTCGTCTCGATGCCGGTTGCGCAGGCGCCCTCTGCCATGATCCACATCGTGGTCTCTTCCCCTTCCCCACTTCCTCTCCCAAGCCAGCTGCTGCTCTCTGTCCCTTTCGCGAGCAACCTCGAAGCGTCTCTCGATGGCGTTGGCGCCAAGACCGCCTACAAGGGCCCCGACGACGGTAGATATCACCCGCGCCTTCTCCGCCTCGCGGGGCGAGCGCGGGCGGTATGTGCCATTTTCCATTTCCTTGCGAGTCCGCGATCGAACGGTGGCATCGGAGACTTCGCGCGCTGCCAGGCCGCCGACGACGGCGCCTAGTAGGCCTACGCCAATGCCGGAGGATGACTGGGTGAAAGTGTGGTCGACCGCGTGACGGGCTTTGCCGATGGGGCTTCGTGGGCGTGAACGCGAGCGTGGTCTGCCTACTGCATATGCTTGAGGTGGGAGGGAGCGTGGGCGATAGTGGCTTTGGGGCGGGAGTTGTAAGGCATTTGAATCATTGGGGGAGAGTGGTGACTCGGGAGGGTAGTATGGATGGACTGGAGGAGGAGGAGCGTCGACGGGGATGGCACCCGAGATGTAAGGGCCGCTGGCGATCGGGACGGGGCCTCGGTCCGGATAGACTACCTGGATGGGACCGGCGCCGCCGCCGGAGTAGTACTCAGGGGAGTACTCCCTCGCGACAGGAGGTAGGTCATCGCGACGATGATGGCTTGGGCTGCGGGGGCGGTCCTCCCGGATCTCGTGCTCGTAGTACCTAGACATGACTATGCCAAGGGGCGTGCGAGTGTTTGGACTTGTTGAAGGGATATCGGCGCGCTTGCGGTGGAATCAGCAGTTTTTGAAACCAGTCGATCGAGCCGTCAAGAAGAGTTATTCAGCTTGGAAAGGATCTATTGAACTCGGTGGTACAGAGTCTACGCGAGGCTGGCGGCACTGATGTAAGATGGACTCCGGCTGCAAGAGACACAGGGAGTGATGACAGGGAATCTCTATACGATTGATAGTCAGGAGTTCGCTGCAATCGCGAGTCGACGCGGAGTGCAAATTCGTACAAGCACAACAGCAGCGGCCGTAGATGTAAAGACTCGCTTCTTCCGTGGCGATGCCGAGAAAGGGATTTCGAAATGAGCGAGAGAAAATAGCTGAGCTTAGCTCCGGGCAAACAAATCTTCAGGCTGTGTAAGCTCAGTCTGATGACTACCTAGGTCAAAGAGTCCGGAACTTACAAGAAGGCCGCGGGATTAAGGTAGAAAGGGTCGAGATTACGGCGTTTGGGTGAAGTACCGTGCCTATATGCGGTTGTAACACGGCAGATGGTTTGCTGCACCGGCGCCACACTCAAGGGCGGCTGGGGGGATGGGAGTACCTACCTTATCTAGGTACGTCGCTGACCAACATAACCCTCTAGAACCTATGAAAGATCGGAGATCCTCGACCCTTTTGGTTTGCTTTCTATGAGAAACGGGCGGGGTACACACCCCGTTTCTCTTGTAGATTACCGTCAGGATAAAGGTAACGCGGTCCGATCTCGTTCCCCTACCTTTTTCGGTATGTGTCAAGTGCAGGGTTCTTACACGCATATTTCAGAGGTGGGTGATGCGATGATGTCACGCATGATGGATGAGCAGGAAGGGACAAGGACATGACACTTGGTAGGAAATTCCCGAGTTCAAGCAAACATGGAAACTGCCCAAGCATGTGCTACCAACGTACCTAGAGCAACTTGTTACGCAACAAACGCGGAGCATTGTTGACGTGTGATTGTTTAGGTACCTTAGCCTTACCATGTAGTTAGCTTGAATCTCCTGCCCTACTACGAGCCATAAGTGGCATGAATACTAATGTAAGGTAGTGCAAGAACGCAGAGTTGCGGAACTCTTCTCAAACTGCCGTGTTGAGCCTCATCAGCCGTCACTCCACTTGCTACATCGGCGTGATCTTGCTTCTCCACATCCCGAAAAAAGCGGACATGGTAAGCTGAATTCTATCTGTTGGGTTGGTGCTGGGTGTGAGGTGATGCAGTGGCAGGAAGGAAATGGCGACAACCCGGAACAAGAGAGGCGATGTGGAATTGGACAGCTCACCGAAGATGGCCCCACCACCATTGCTAATTAAGGTGGCATGACCATGCAACGGCCCTGCCATTGGCCATCCTCATGCGCGGCCACTCCCTCCGAAGCTTCACATTGGCAAGAAATCAGCAGGCTTTCCACAAGGCACTCACGGCACACCTCACCGACACGCTCAAATCCAGCGAATCTTCGCGGGCGAGCTCAAAGATAGCCCTCAGTGAGCTGAATCACCCCTTTTCCCCAACAAGGATACCTCGGCGAACGAATCCGAAGTCAGCCTTCACAAGCCCCCCGCCCGAGAGTCGGCTCACCGGAGGAAGACAGCCCCGCACACATCGGAGCGGCCCCACAGCGGGTAACCCCTCCGGCCATCACTGCTAGGTAGGTATCGTCGTTCAAGGTGGGTTCATACCAAAACCACTCACCGCCGCCGACCTCAGGCATACCCGCACTTGCTCGACACCGACTCGTGATCGCCCGCATCCCACCCGGTAGTTCGTACCGCTCTGGCTAAATATCGGCTGCATGCTGCTCCACGGTTCGTAGTAGAGGCCCACCACCTCCATTTGAGAAGGTCGTTTATTCTATACTTCCACGAACTTCATTGGATGGCCTCACGCCCTATTCCCAATAGGTCATAGAGGCTGCTCTCAAGCAAATAAGCTGTTCCTCCTTCCACGACAGAACTTCCGGGCTTTTGCCGGCCATTGGGACTGTATATCTGCCCTACGATTATCTAAAAGTCGTGATGTTTCGCGCCCCTCTTCCTATTGTCCAAAAGTCTGTCTTAATCTTAGTTTTGATATCTCGGAGATCGAAATTCTTCAGTTTTCCTCAAGATAAACCTTTGTCTATACACTAGCATTGCGGCATCTCGTCAAACCAGTAAGGGCTCACGATGGATGAGAAGGTTGCGCCGGTACCGGTCCTAGACGGGGAAGAGGACATAAACGCACCCTCGATTACCAATTTTGACGACACTAGAGAGCGTTGGAACGGAACTCGCATCAATACGTATCGATTCTTTGTGACCTGTTGGAGCTTCATCATAATGGGCATGAATGACGCCGCTGTCGGTGTAAGTCTAAGCATTTTTGCGATACTGCAGACCTATCAAGTACTCACGACTGTTCTGTCTACAGGCCCTCATTCCTTATGTAAGTTTACGGAAAACTTCAACTTCCACTGAGTAGCATAAGCCTGACGTCGGGGCTCAGATCGAAACTTACTACAATATCACGTACACCGTCGTCGCCTTACTCTTCCTTTCGCCATTTCTTGGCTACCTGGTGGCAGCCTTATCCAACAACCTCATACACCACAAGCTCGGTCAGCGAGGCGTTGCAGTACTTGGTCCCATCAGTCGCATGATCGGTTACATACCTCTCGTCTCTCACCCGCCTTACCCCGTCCTCCCTGTCGTCTTGCTTTTCGCCGGTTTCGGCAACGGCCTCGAAGACAGCGCCTGGAACGCCTGGGTTGGCAATATGCAGAACGCAAACGAGTTGCTTGGGTTTCTTCACGGTGCATATGGCCTGGGCGCGACCATCGGCCCCCTGGTCGCCTCTGCTATGGTAACTAAGGGCAAGCTGCCGTGGTACTCCTTCTACTACGTCATGATTGGTGTCACCGCGGTGAACTTCGTGGCCGCCATCACGGCGTTCTGGGGCGCAACTGGCAAGATACACAGGGACACCCACCAGTCTTCGACGGGGGAGAAGAGAACGACAACTATGACCGTAGTGCGTCAACCACTCACATGGCTTCTGGCCTTGTTTCTCTTGGGCTATGTTGGAGCAGAAGTCAGCCTGGGTGGGTGGGTTGTTACCTTTATGCTTCGCGTGAGGCACGCCGAACCTTTTCTGGCTGGCGTCACCGTGGTGCTGTTCTGGTAATTACGTTCCTCTCCAAGCTTTGTTTTACTCAAGCAAGAATCCCTACTAACCCTTTCCACCATCAGGCTGGGACTGACGTTAGGCAGAGTCATTTTGGGCTTTATAACGGGGCGCATAGGAGAGAAGCGCGCGATCGCAATCTATCTTGTCACTTCACTCGCGCTCCAACTGCTCTACTGGCTCGTCCCCGATTTTATCGCCTCCGTCATCTTCATCACGTTCCTCGGCTTCTTCCTCGGCCCCCTTTTCCCCGCCGTCATCGTCACCGCGACCAAATTGCTCCCCAACGACTACCATGTGGGAGTGATTGGATTTGCTGCTGCCTTTGGCGGCGGCGGCGCAGCGATCTTCCCTTTTGCCATCGGGGCCATCGCCCAGAGCAAAGGCGTCAAGGTGCTACAGCCAATCATCTTGGCCCTTCTCATCTTTCTCTTAATTTTATGGCTTTGCGTCCCGGGTGGATTCAAGAGAGGCGGGCTCGAGAGGGCAAGGGAAAACAAGGAGGGTCTTGGTAGCGATGCCAAGAGTCTATTTTCGTCGATGAAGCAACTGCTTCGAGGTCGAGGCTAATCCTCCATTGAATGAATATATTCCTCCGCTATGAAGTCCCGATGTTTCTATGCAGATGGCCCCCGAATGGCGAACTACTGCCAGGTACGGAAGTTCGTTGAGGACATAGCTGACTGTGGTGTGAATCCAGAATGACAGGTTATGAGTGATGTTGAAGAGGGGTGATACGGCCCCACTCTATTCGACGGGCCTCTTCTCGCTCTCCGAGAACTCAATCGTCTCCTTGTATTGGATCGGCTCGGGTCGTGATGTTGTTTGCCCTGTGCTATGCTGGGGTAAAAGACCCGGATCGAAGCGGAAGCTGTAGCTTCCAGGAGTCCAGAATGTTCCCATGGCGTAGCATGTTGCGCCACCTCCTACGATTGCGAAATTCGCATCCCCATAGTGCACGACGGAGGAACCCATCAGAAAGGGGCGTATCACGCCGGAGCTGCCTGTGCCATCAAGCCTGGCCACCACACTGACGTCCATTTCCGTTGTTTCGAGAACGATGATGTCGTATAGCGATGGAAGCTGAACACCCTCAATCACTCCGCCAAGCAATATTGTGTACCCAAGCGACTGAATAGCGAAAGAGCCGAGCCTGGCAAGACCGCCGGGCAGTCCTCCGCCTTGGGTAGTCCGTTGCTGGAACGACAGTACAGGCTACAAATAGGTGTTAGCGAATGCGAAAGAAAGGATTCAAAAAGTCGCATTGGCACATACCTCGGGTTCAGCCGTGTTCAGTTTCCAAGTATAAAGTTCCTGGTTGATAACGCTATCCTCAAGGCTGCCCCCGGATAAGAAACCAGTGAAAGCTCGAGATCCCACTTCGCCTACGCAGATAAACGTAGCACTGTACAGTGCAGGTGGCGCAAATTTTACGTGGCACTTTTGCCAACCCTCTGCAGGGTCAAACAGAAAGTACTCGGCTGACGTTTCAAAATGGTTCTTCCTACCGCCAGCGAGGAGGGCAAGAGTCGAAGAACCCAGTCGAGTCACAGAATGCCTGAAAAGGGGAACGGGGAGATCCTTTGTTCGTTCCCAGGCAGAAAGATGCCTTTTGAAAAGCCAGCAGTCTCCGAACGCCGTTGAGGGGGCCGTGCGACCACCCGCGAGAAGAACACCAGCACTGCCCAAGTCCGTAAGGCTATGGCATACTCTTGCAGATGGCACCTTGACGGATGGGATAGAAGCCACTGGCTGGCTAGATATTTTGTACAGGTCCTCGGAATTCATTCTTCCAACGGGCCCCTGTCCGAAGTTGTGAGATATGAATCCACCGCTGTTGGGCTCTCCGACGAGCATTGCGCCGCCGAGCCGGCGGTGACCATGAGCAGACTCGTAGGCGCTCAAAGTCATCGGGCATTGGAAAGACGGAATGTCGGCTTCTCCATGGACCTTGGACACGTGGCCCTGGACTTCAGACTTCGGATTTGTAGCAAGGATGACGAAGTAATGGCTGGCGAAGAGAGCAAACTCCTCCAACTCGTCAAAAGACTCAACCAAATCGAGTGCTCGTCTTTCTGCGGCAGTCATAAACAAATCGTCAGACCAAGCCTCCCAAAGTGTCCAACTCTCAGCTGATGGCCAGCCAAGAGACTGGAATCGCTTCTCCTGGCTGGCCACAGTAGGATAGCGATGGACCGACTTGAGTGGAGCGTTCATCTTGTTGAAGTGCCCAAGCATTGTGTGAGCAAAAGGATGATCGGGCCCATCTGGGAGGATCTGCTCCAGTAGACAGAACTCAGCTACGTGTCTGGTTAGAGTGTATCGTACAAACTGAAGTAACAAACGTACCATTTCCAACAGTAGCTGCCCACTCAATGACTCCATTCGCACCTTTCGTGTCCATGTAAGTAATGGACACTTCGGCCACGAACAAGAATTCGGTGTTTGAGACGTCAAAGAGCGTGTCAAGACAATTCTGCAGGACCGAGAGCTGCTGAAGATTGCATCCCACTTGACAGTACTTCTGGCTTTTGAGGACAATGGGGCAATCATCATTTACCTCCCAAGTTCCCATCAGATCTTGCAGCTGCGGGGTCTCGAGTACTATCTGCCGCTTCTTCTGAATAAGATCTGGGTAGTCGACATCAAGGAAAGTCACATCTCGACAGGCATCGGGATAGCGCACTTGACACTGCCACGGCAGAACGTCGCTGTCGTTGAAGCATTAATCATGCAAAGGCCTCATGAACGTGTAAAGCAACAGGTTGAAGCTCACCTTCCGCAGCCAAGATTCACGACGACCTTCTTCCGGGTTGATGGCTTTTGGAGAAATCGGCGAACTAGGGTGTCGATAACTTTGAGTCTCAGATGATAGCCTCTATTAACCAGAGGCGCCCTTCTCCGGAACTTTTTCACAAAGAACCGAAAATAATGAGGCTCGTCAGGATAGTAGAGATGTTCCTTGAATGGTGTTCAGGTTTGCCGTTTCAACCAAGTGGGCGGCAGTAAGACTTACGACACTGCGTTTTGAGACGATCGAGCTATTGTTTGTCTATGAAGCAGGGGGTGTGAGTGACACTGAGATTGACAAGACAGAAAGATGAACGCTGGAAACCGACTCACGGCCATGATCAAGTCGTCCGAAGCCCGGGTCTTTCGAACGTCCTGAGTAGAGGGAGCCATCTTGGACGGATCACAGCGAAGCTTGCGCCCGATTCAATATGCTTCGTGTAGTGTGTTACGATGTCCGTGAGAATCTTGGTTTTTTGCGCGGCCAAATTTTTTTTCTTTTTGTTTGGAAATTTGCAGAAAGTTCCCTCCTCAGGGAAAGGCGCCAAACACCGGGGCTCCGAGCTTCTAAAACCCCATTGCGGGATATAGGCGGTTGAATCACATTCTATGGCACTAAACCTCTAGAAAATTGTCAAGAAATGCGAAAGACGGGCTAGGAATAGATCTGTATTAAATGAGACACTCAAGTCCCAGTCCCAGCCACGAGAATGTAACATATTCCATGTAGACATGGTGATTTCACCTAATTATCTCGCTGTCTGTGCCCACCTCACCTCATAGTTTGTCCTCATGGAACCTCAGGAACCTGGAAGTCTCGAGGTTGCCTTATCTTATCAGAGATGCTCCCCAAAACGGTACGTACCTTACCTTACCTACCTACCTACCTACCTACCTTAAAGTACTCCGTAAGGTACCTAGGTACCTTATTGAGGTGCCTCAAGTTCCACAGGTTCCATGGCCCAATCGGTCACCTGTCGCGAGTTTCCGAACCAGGTGCATTTACCTTACTTTTGTTACTTTTGTACTGAGGTTGGCTGGTGCCCCAGAGCTTGAGCCACACGTGCCATGAACACACCCATCCATTTCAGCGTGCAACCCAAGGCAATGAGGGTCAAGATACCTACCTTAGGTGTTGCACTCAAGGTACTTTGGTTTGTGAATGCCTGTGTAAAGCAGTTTTCAGTACTTACTGCATCAAGTGAGGTGAAATAGCTGAACACATCGTCGTGCATTCCATCCAAGGTTGGCACGCCAGGCACGTACGGACAGGTAACCTAAATACCTAGGTTCGGTTCCTAGCACACTGGGCACCTACCTACCTTAAGGTACCTAGGTAAGGTAGTACGGTGCTCTGTCAATTCTGTATCTGTCCGCGATGAGCTCTGGGCTGCTAAGGCGCTAGGGCCATGGGATTACATAGCTTCCCCGCCGCCCCCCCCACTGGGTTGACATTGGGTTGCCTCCTCCATTCACGTTGCGTTGTGAGCCGTCCCGCCTGGATCTGCTTCCACAAGCTACCGCCGTACACCAACATCGACCTTCCTTGCCCGACCTCTCTTACCTTGCTTGACCGCAACGGCATCTCTCTCACCTCAACTTCCTTCTGCTGTTGCGCTGCCGCCATCTTGCGCCAACCCTCTCCGAACTTTCGATTGCACTCGATCCCTCGTCGTTTTTGTCGCCCTCAAACCGAACGCCGCCTCATCTTGAGACTACCATCATCCTTTCGGACTTTTTGGCAGCTGAAAGCCGCCTTCTGTCGCCGAGCCGCTGCTTCCTACTTCGGTCCAACCTACAATCGTCTGCTTCTCGAGTACATGCGGAAACACACATCGTATCCTGTCCACGCCGTCTATCTTCGATTTCTGCTTGGTATACCGTCGCCTACCACTACTTCAGACCGCCACCACTGAAACTTTTTCTGCTTGCGCCACTGATCCCGAGTTTCTGCCAGTGTGGGGCTTCGAGCATCTATCGCGACGCATATAGCATCGCGAATACCCAACTCCGCAAAACCTGCCCATAGTGTTAACAGACACATTTGGGTTGCCTGGTCCTCATCGATCGCCGGCGCTGCCCGGGCGTTACAGAACCTGCTGTTCCAGAATCGCCGTCCGCATCTCCACCGTGATCCGAGCAGCGCACCATGGCGAATACCGCCCTTAACTTCATTACCTTTAATCAAGACCATAGCTGTCTGGCCGTCGGTGAGATCTCCTCATATCTGCTTTCCTGGTTTCATATGATGTTCTCCAGATCAGAGTTACTAATCGTTTTGCGTTTCACTTTGCTAGGTACTTCTAAGGGTTTCCGAATCTATCATACCGATCCGTTCTCCAAAATCTTCAGCAGCGACGATGGCAATATTGCTATTATTGAGATGCTGTTCTCGACGTCTCTTGTCGCCCTGATTCTATCTCCTCGACACTTGATAATACAAAACACAAAGGTTGGTGCTGGCCACTTGCTGGCGATGATCCATGCCAGGTTATGAAATTCTTCTGACGACAAATAGAGATCATCAGTCATCTGCGAACTTACCTTTCCATCAGCTGTGCTCGCCGTGCGTCTCAACCGGAAACGTCTCGCCGTCGTTCTCGAATCTGAAATCTACTTATATGACATTTCTAATATGAGCCTTCTCTTCACGATTCCTACATCTCCCAACCCAGGCGCAATTTGCGCTCTATCGCCTTCTTCAGAGAACTGCTACATTGCATACCCTTTACCGAAGCCTCGGGAGGACTCAGGAGACAAGAGACCAGCCCACGCGCCTCCCCTCTCAACATACGTTGCGCCGACATCGGGAGAGGTTTTGGTATTCGACACGCTTACATTGAAGGCTGTGAATGTCATTGAGGCTCATCGTTCACCACTGTGCTGCATCTGCCTCAATAGTGAAGGAACGCTCTTGGCCACAGCAAGCGAGACTGGTACCATCATCCGCGTCTTCTCGGTCCCTGGAGGTCAGAAACTCTACCAGTTCCGCCGGGGGACCTATCCATCCACCATTTACAGCATGTCATTCAACCTCAGCTCTACCCTTCTCTGCGTTTCCTCAACATCCGACACAGTTCACATCTTTCGTCTCGGAGCACCTCCTCCAGGCAACAATTCTGCCGCCGCCGCAGCAGAGACACCTGCTTCACCTCGCCAGGATCGCTGGTCGAGGTCACGCAGCTATGACAGCAATAATGAGTCGCCTGTGGGGAGTGCGGCTGGTTCTCCACGAAGCGACCTGGCGGAACCCGCTGGGCTAGGTAACGGCGGCTCTGCTCATCCCCAGCAACAGATCAACAGGCGGCAAAGTGGCTCGTTTAGTAGCATGCTGCGGCGCTCGTCGCAGATTATGGGTCGCAGCGTGGCCGGCGTCGTTGGATCATATTTGCCGCAGACGGTAACAGAGATGTGGGAGCCCCTCAGAGACTTTGCGTACATCAAGATTCCAAAGTCTTCCAACTCGCCGACTGGCCAAGCCCGTGGGAACAACAACGCGGGCGGGTCGCAGCCGCTGACTGGCCCGCTTCGAAGTGTCGTGGCCATGAGCAGCAGCAGTCCTCAGGTAATGGTGGTCACTAGTGACGGTGGCTTTTATGTGTACAACATTGACATGGAGCATGGCGGAGAGGGCTACCTGGTCAAACAATTCTCGTGAGTTATCGCACCGTTGTTTCGTCATCGTTATATGCTTGTGGTCCACAACACTAAACAGTCATCTATGGCAGAGTCATTGACGGCGACGACAAATTGGACGCGTCCTCGTACGGCACATGAAGCGCTGTTTGCGTGGCTCATAAAGCAAGATGGTGAATGGAAATTGGGACTTGTGGGAGTAGAAGATGGGAGGGGGCCAATTCAGCATTAGGAGGCGTCCGGACGACTTTCTCTATTTACCTTCTTCTACTTCTGTTTATTTTGGTCTGTACCTTAAGGAGGCGGTATGGTCCATGGGGAGGCTACAGCACCTTGCATTCTCGACCTAGGTAATATGGAGCAACTTGCTTGCCCAGTGGCTAACTACTACGAAAGAAAGCGCATTTGTTCGCCCGAATGTCAATCACATATAAGACTAACAGCTGTCATGAGCCCCGCGAGCTCAATTGTGTTCTACAGCACAGCGTCGCTTCGGATTATATGCTAGGCCATCACTTTCTCGTCATGAAGAACAATCATGCAATTTGAATCCACGCCAGGATAGCAGATAACCTGCTCAATATCGACTAAATATCTGTTGTGACAACCAATTAGCTTCAGAACACTATTCATGATTAAAGAGGAAGTTGGTGACGTTGACTGGGTTTGGATTGTTGCTTGTTGTCCCCTCTCCATACCTCCAGCAAGATTCCATCGCCGTCACTGATCGCGAGTACCCGATGACCTGGCGGTCAAGTATCCTTTATTATCAAAAGATTGTATAGACGGAGGCTGTGAAGATGCCCCCACCACCACCCTAAAATATACTTAGTCGAGTAAACACCAGGCCAGCCGAAGTACAGCTGTCGAAATCATGCGCCGAACTGTCCATTCCAAAGTGTCCCCCAGAAAAGTCTCTCCTTCGGGAGATAATACCATAGCGCCATTCCATCAGTCATATATCCGCACAAATCATTCCACATGAAGTTTTACCATTGAGGATACAACCTGCACACAATAGCTACTGACTGGGCCTTGGGCCCGACTGCTCAGTTGTCTGTGATGTATCCAACGGTGGTGTAAATGTAATATTAAAGAACGTCCGACGATCCACGTGGGCGAATAAATGAGAGATATGGGTTTCGGAGTCGACGCAAGAGAGAAGAATACGCGTTACGACGCCGAGTAGAGGAAGAAGAGGACTTTATCTGGCGTAAGGACGGTTCATCAGAGCGATCTCTCTGGCGATTTCACCCCATTCGAGTTCCCGCTTCACCCTAGATGAGCCCTTTTTCTTCGACTGGTTGAGCTCTTCCCATTTGAGAAGCTCGTACGCGAAACGGAGGTGTGGTTGGATGATGACATTGAGCCTGCGGGCTCGGACGAAGCAATATGCTCGGGGAAATGACAGACCCAACGACCGCATTACTTCGGCGATGCAAATAGTTGCACTCCGCGATACTCCGACGCGGCAGTGTACCAACGTGGCTGTCCCGTTGCGCCGGCCACGCTCTGCGGTAAAACGAGTCAGCAATTTTCCGACTTTCAAAAGATCAAGGGTTGCCGGCTTACCAATAAAATCGAGGCATCTCTCGAATTCATCCGTCAAAGGATCAATTCCGTTATCCTGCACTCCTTGTACAATGCAGACGTTTTCTGGGCCCCATTCCTCCAACTCGCCTTCCCTCCACATCGAAGTCTCGCCAACACTCAAAATCTGAGTTATCCCCATGGCCCTCAAAAGGTCGGGGTTGTTCGCGTGACATAGGTTACCGAGGTACATATATTCGAGAACTCTGCTTGGCAGTGATCCATCCAAGCCCGGAAGCCATGCTGGTTCCTTTATCAGCGATGTGATTTCGCCGAGGCCCTTACCCGAGTGAACGGGCGACTCATGTAGCAATCGGGCCTCGATACACGTGAGAAGAGCAACGTCAGTAGGATAAGCGAAGAAATTCCGCTTCTTGATGGTATGCAAGTCCAGCCAGGCATCGGCAATGCCCCTCCCAGTGCTGTAGCTGAAGTAGGCGATTCCAAGCATGGTAGACTCGGTGTACCCATCGGCACAGTGGATGAGAATCTTCCTCTCTCTCCTGTTAACAGGCGACAGAGCCGGCCCGTTCATATCGGTGTCGCCGTCCCCATCGGTGTCGGTGCTAGTTGTAGCTGGAAGCGTGCCATGGGCCAAGTGATAAACCCACTTACAGGTTTCCAAAATTCCATCGGCTTCGGCTTGTGACCATGTAGGTGGTAAGATACTTCCAGAGGAGGGGAAGTCAATATAGGGCCTCTGAGCAGGCTCAACCCGGGACTCAGCCAAGGTCCGCAGTGCTGAAGGGTTAAGCCGACCGACGTCACTACATTCGATCAACACATCAAATTGTTGGTCTTCCCCTGAGGAAGGTTCTGGTGTTGGACCGAGCCAAACATTGTGGGAAATTTCCGATGCTCTGGTCATGTCATACATCTCCTTCCGCTCTTGGTGGAAAAAGTCGAGGACATTACCAGTCAAGTGGCCCTGAGCGTCGATAGCGACGATCTCGTTGTGGTTGTTCTCAAAGTTGCTGAATGGCGAACAACACATGAATGTGTTATATTCCGGAACAGAGTGACCCTGAGCTTCGTGCCTCTGTCGCCATCGAAGCTGTGCCGTCGCAATATCGAGGCTCACTTTGCGAACAGCCGTCTCATCCTGGCCGTAAACAACAATGTCCGAAACCATGGCGGCTTTGGCAGCCTGGATCTGAAAATTCCTCACACAAAAGCCATCGCGGGGGTCGACATCGAGAAATTCGGGAGTGGCGGCGGCCAGGTTGATAAGCTCTTGTGGGGCTATAGCACCTTTAAGGCGGGCGACGCTCAGATCACCGTCCGCTTTGACGAGCGTGACCCCCCGAACACATGTAGGTGTTTTACGGAGAGAACGGTGACGGGCGATGAAGAAAGCTTGCTGAATATGATTGTGAGGATGAAGACCATGGAACCATGGGAAGACTTGGTTGGGATCCGGCAAGGGCTGACGGGAAATATAGTCGACAGCAGCAGCCACGTCGACGGGGCCGACGGCATACACGGTGGCCGGGCCCGACTCGAATTTGGAGAACTTGTCGGGGGGAAATAATAACGAAGTCTGCTGAATCAGATCGTCGTCGCGAGGAGGTGATGGAGGAGGAGTGTTGGGCTCCTCGGCAGGAACAGGGCCTGGAGGACAAACTGGAAGATGCTTGTTGGGTACAGGCACTTGAGCAGTGCCGATGGACTCGAGCGATATGGTTGGGACGGATCCCACCGTCGACGTTGGGCGGTGCGGGGCAATGGGTCTCGGAAGGGCAATCGTCGCCATGCTGAAGTGTATGTACTGTTCTTTCAGTTTTCTCTTCCTGTATCCTTCACTTTGTTGTTGCCTTGAGCCGGCAGCTGATTGCAATTGACGCTGTGCACCGGCTGTCTGCGAGCAGTCGGAGCTGGGTTGGAAAGACGGTGAAACTGCAACCAAGGCCTAAACCAACACGTAAAACGGGATGCTTCTCTTGTGCCGAATTGACGATACCTGCAATCCAACCAAACTATGTTAGACGTCGAGTTGACAACAGACGCAACGAAGTAATGATGGAGGAGACTGTCGAATACTCATGAGATGAGCAGGAGAGAAAAGACACTCGAATCAGCCGTCTGGTTGATCCAAGTCCAAGATATGTTATGTTGAAAGGAAGAAGGAAGGAGGACGTTTGTCACCACAACAGGTTGGGGTACTAATTAGACGGGCGTGGGAGCACGGGGGCAGGACAAGGGGGCACAGACAGGGTGGAGAGAGAGCAGAAAGAGAGTACCAGGAAGGGGCACTGGCACTTGGGGGAGGCAGACAGGGAGAGACGATATCTGGAGGTAGCGAACGGTAAGGTAAGGAAGGCTTTCGAACTAACCGTAAATCGGCTGGACCTTGGATCGACTGGCTGGGGTGATGGGCGATCCTTATCGTGCGTGGCCCAAAAGCAACCAAACAGCAGGGTAGCTTCAGTTCGGCCTAGGTAGAGTGTGGTAGTGTAGGGGCGTTCTGGTAGTAGTGAAATGCAGTAGCGCCAGTTCCGTGATAAGCTGGGGCGGCAGTGCCTGTCGTCCCTCTGCTGTTTGTGGATGATACAAACGGCTCTGTAAACATGAGTCGAGTGTGGGAATTGAGCGTCGGTTGCTCCGATATTGCAGGCCAACCTTGAAGCTACAGGTGAGGTACGAGGACAGGGACGAACAGATGATTCCCGAAGGCTAGGCGGAGGAGGGTTATTTTGACGATGGCAGGAGGGGAGCGGGCGGCATCATGTCAAGGAAAGGTGTCGAATGATTGGGGGAGGAAGAGAGGAAAGGAGCGAACGCACAGGGGGAAGAGCGAGGAAGCCGTGGGATAGACTGAAGTAATGAAGGTTTTAGTTGTGTGCTAAGCTCCTTGAAAGGAGTCGTGACACGTCAGGTAAGGTAGGTGCAGTACCGGCGTCACGATGGTGAGGAGCGACCTGGAAACGCATCAACCCACCTTACCTTGGGTACCTTACCTTACCACCTTATCAGTACCTTCTGGTGGTGAGTGTAACTTAGGGCAGGTACCTACCTTTTTTACTGGCACAGTCAGGTAAGGCAAGGTACCTTATCTTGGGCATGTCCAATGTCGACGAGATGGGCAGACAGCTCTCTCCAACATGCGAGACCAAGCCCATGCCCACGCCCCGACTCCCAAGCCACTTGACCTGGCATCTCATCTCGTCCAATCAAGGAGCCTGGAAAATGTGGAGTTCTCATGGATTGAGGAGGGGGTGAGGGGTTGGAGAGGGACATGGGGGGGAAGGGGATCAGTGCCAATGGTGGGCAGCGTTTATTTGGCTTGTACACTACCTTACAGTTAGTTGCACAGCCGCAGAGAGGGCTTCAGCAATGCAAGTTGGCGCTAATGGTCGCGATACCTTAAGTACCCAGTGAGGTAAGGTACCTACTTCATACATGCCTACCTAGGTAATCATTTCTCGTGATGCGGAGGTACGTGGATTGATTGCTCAACATCATGCTGTTCACTATTTCTTTCACTGCTGGTGATTATCAAAGAAGAGACCAACTAACCAACCTCTCTGCCTGGCAATGGTTGGGTCTTCCTTTCGAGATACCCAGGCGTGCTAGGGAAGGTCTAGCGAGGCGCGATATTGGACCCCGGGATTGTTTTACCCCTCATCTTCTAAGGAGAGGTATCCAACCAAACCGTGTTAAGGTAGTGTATCCGTACGGATAGACATGTCTTTCGTCGATCAGGTCTAGACCTTCGAGTCGTCCAATTCTCAATCGAGTGAGGCGAAGATTCATTCTCCTAAGCAATAGAAGAATACAGAGGTCTCCATCATATACGTCAGAAAAGAATGGGAGCGGAAGACTCGGGGTAGAATGTAGCCGGGACCATCGCTTATGTTGACAATTGGGCGCATCGTCTGGTGCTCGGCCAATGTATCGATGGCAGTATTGCGAATTCAGATAACATTACCGTAGACACACGTAAGCAACCTAGGTAGGTAGGCAATGTAGAAAACGACGGCACCATGGCAAATACCTGTTTGTATGTACAAAGAGAAATATTACTGTTCGTAGGAAGGCCGTGTGAGAGCTGGTATTACAGTGGTGAACCAAACCTAATAACGTTGAAAGGGTCGAGACAGCAAGACCTGGTCCCGGGGGCCCCTTGGTTGGGCCCAGGAAATCGGGGGTGGAGATGGGCGGGGGTGTCGCATTCCAAGTGGAGAAGAGGCAGGGCGCTACTGCACGGCTGCTGCACCCAGTGGCATCCATGTGGTCGTAGCGCCAGTCTCAGCCATTGAGGATGGACGGATTGAGTGCCACCACTGCACCGCTGCACCGCACCCGCCATACATCAAACAGACACGGTGAGACTCAGAGCATGCCATCGAGAACCATGATGAGATGACCCGATTGCCTCTACACTACTTCTCCCTTTCTCCTTTGTTCAGTCTCCCAGTCTCTCAGTCTTCGTACCTGTATGCATTCATACGTTCGTCGCTTTATGTTCCTTGATCATCGAATCGCCTGACGGTACGCATCAAGAGAAGATGTAGTGAAATACCTAGGCACCTAGGTAGGCCTACCTAAGTATTCATGATCCTTGAGTTCCATTATGAAAGATGTGTATTGGCTGACGTGGGGTAAGGTAAAGTACCTTACCTCAAGGTACGATTAGATATCGGATAACGTGATTGACCACACCCCGCGACCTACAGACAGGTAAGGTAAGGCAGTGAACGGCGGGCATAAAATTGGGAATTGGGACTGCCACGATGAGTGGCCACGGTTCTTGCGGGGTTACACATCATGGTCGAAGGTATCGTACTTAGTCGGTTGGCACGAGATTGTTCGTATTTTGCGGCATCCCTGCCTTTCCGCCCTTTCTTGAAACATGTTGAGTGGCGACAAGAGACTCGAGTACCTTACCTATCTAGTGTACACCAGAGTCCCTCAAAACGAATGCTCTTAATCGGAGACGGAATATGAAGGAGATCTCGTGCCCAAGGAAAGTTCTACCGACATCTTGAACTCCTGTGTACCTACCGAACCCTTCGTGTGCGACCTGACACCACACTCCAGTCCAGTCTCACTCAACGGCACGTCGGCATGGTCTTCCCATTCCGTCTCCACTGGCCGGCTCATCCGCGGGGCCAGGGCCATACCTATTCCAGCCGATTGCATTCGACCCTTCCGCGCGTCTCCAATTATTTCCAGAAATCATCGAATGCTGGCTCTTCCCTGCTATCTGCGAGTACTACGTACACTAATAAGCCACGCATACGGATACTTATAACGTACAGTCAAGTCATGTACGAATACTCTGTTGTGACAACCGGCAGAGGACGTATGCCAGCATCTTTAACCTAGCTGAAGCTCAACGTCAGATGTAAGGGCCAGGCTAGTTGCGATGAGATGGATGAAACCGAGGCAGAACATCTCCCTGACTGCTGGTTCCCGGAACGCATGCATGTCTAAGGCACTAGGTAGTATACTACTGTGTAGATATTCCCGCCGGACCCTTGGTTCAACCCAAAAGGGACTCCACATCACACACTGGTGGGTTTGGCGGATTCCTTGGATTATTCCATCCAGCAGGCAGTGCCGGGAACACACGCCTCTCTTTTACCGTAGATCTCGGCGGTGGACAATATACAGCGCCATTCTGATATTTTGCTGCAGGACACCAAGTTGTCGTGTCCATGGAAAATCAGAATCAAAATAACGTACGACTTCTAAGTGCCCCCAGCTGTCCGGGTAGTAAATAGCAGCTGCTTCAACATTCCAAAGCCCTGTACGTACTTCGTTGTGTTCTAGTCCTTGTGCAGGGTAGGTCCGGTCAGCGACCGCAGAGGAAAAAGTCGCCATAGCGGATTTCTTGCCGTACTAGCTTCAATAAACAGTGTCAACAGCGAAGACGGAAAGCCGTCGGCACCCATGTCAAAGCTCTCAAGATCGATGCAGGGCAGCTCTAAAAGGCACTTGGGTATTTTCTACGAAAGTCACATAGGCACTTATATTGGAGCCTTCGCGGGGGTGGGACGGAGGTCCCCACTATCTACCTTGGGGACCTCACGTTGAGAAAATGACCTACTGTACGGATACACAGTAGTGCCTAAGGTAGATCAATCCATCCATGCCTCATGTGGCTGGTGCCACTAGAGCTCAATTGAGGAGCACCTGAGGTAGCGACGCGCCGCGGCAGCATTACCTAAGGCAGTCTACCTTACACCAAGACAAGAGGCATCAACCATCTTACGTCATTGAGACGCACGACAGCAAAACACTTGCGGAATGAAGCACATGCTTTTTTGCTTTACCTAGGGTACGGCTAATGGTAAGACTAGAGACAAATCAATCTGAGGCAACACTGAGCATGCCCAGAGCATTACGCACCACTCCCGCTGGTTCCTGAGCTAACAACCACAGGTTGTCTGGAGCCTAGACTGCAACCTAGATCCTACGGATACTGAGGCGCGAAATCAAAGCGGTGACTCTCGCCCAGCCCAGGAGCTTCATCAACAGCATTTCTGCTTTTCAACTCAAGCTGTAGACTTCGAGCGGAACCTCGGCCTACTCAGCAGCCTTGTTACAGCCTTCTAGGTCCCTGACCTGGCAGCCCTGGTAAGCCTTCTACTGCATCGCATCCGTGATCGCGGCAAGCCCTATTCGATCCCTTCTGAAAGATGACTAACTTGTCTTCTTTGCTACCCAAAGCCTGCCTCTTTCAAACGAAAACGTCTCTTCCTCGGCTATCGCGAAATCCATAGAACACTGCTCCAGTCATGCCCAAGTCCACGTCGCTCCGCAGGCTCACCGACAGCCACCCGTGATACTTGTACCAATCCCTTGACCACGACGCCAGACCTACCTCACTTGTCTCCGATCTGCTTATGGTATCCCCGTTCCCTGGCCTATTTGACGCATCCAGAAGCCTTTCACCATCAAACTTGACGACTTTAGCATAGTAAGCCCGATCTCGAACGATAACAGCGGAACAAAATGGCTTCTTCAGAACAAAGCCATACGTACGGCCTCAAGTGCCGCCTTGCCCCGGTATCCCAGCCATCAACTGGGGGCGTTGACGATGACACCCCCGCGGTGGCTGCACAGTTTTTCTATTCTTCAATCTTACCTATAGACGACCCTTTATCTCCTGGGACAATCGCTGGTGTTTCGGACGCCCGAACTACTCGTGGTCCGATTCGTCCCTTCTCCCTCGGTGACAATAATGCCCTTGAGAAGGCATGGCTTAGCTTCCTGTCTAACGATGACGTTCAAGCTCATGAGCAGCTGGTTCGAGACAGAAGACTGAGTCCCAACACTGAGAAAGCCAACGCGCATAGACTGAGCCTCTTGACGCGCCATTTAGCTATCAAGCACCTTCAGAAGCATGGTGGCATCATTCAAACATCGACCACGGCCGGCAAAGCTTCGGACCTGCTTCCGGACACCCCGATATCTACATGCTGTCCCGAGTTATTCATTGATGTCTCTACCGAGCTTCAGAATACCTTTTGTGCGCTGGCCAGGAAACACCACCCTTCTCTTGGCCAGGAGAGAGTCGTTCAGGAAGTCATGATGGAACTCAGGGGTCTCGTAGTATCGAGCGAGACGCGCCCCCAATTCGGGAGCGTTTCTTCTTCCCGGCCCCGAGCGGACTCGGCTCGTTCGCGGCAAATGGAGATTGTCAGTTCATTCAGTCCTCGCCAAGAAGCAGCAGGCGAATTGCAGAGGATCGGAAGAGAGGTTGGCAACACGGGTTTGGAGTCTGGGTCGAGGGCTAGATCTGATTCCCGGACAAGCGAGCAAACATCTCGGCCCTCCACACCGGGTTTGGGCACTTCGTTCCGGCAGCATGCTGCCGACGATGGCATCTCTGGCAAACCGTTTGTCCGTGCTGGACTCCGGCAGCGACCCCAAGATGCGCTGGCGACGTCTTTCACTCCTTCAGATCAGTCGAAATCGAATGATTCCGAAAATCAAGATGCGAGGCGCTCGTTCACTATGCCAGAGCCACCCAGAGCCAGATCGAACACTACGCAAGCTAAAATTGTCAGCGATGAAAGTTACAGGAGGGAAGCTGTCGACGTTGTTGTCGGCATCTCCCGGCTGCATATGGTGTCCATCCCGGCTCTGCAAATGAAGCCCATTTACTGGTCCCCTGTGAACGACATTGCAATGGTCCTACGTGCCACCTGGTTCTACAGGTTCGTTGCTTTAACTTCCCAAATGTGCCCAAGGCTCTGACAGAGGGATAGAGATACGATGCTACCAATACCCCCAGCTGTGGCAAATCAATTAGAGGCTGGCTACCGAGAGCTCAAGCCTCACACCGAGACGTGGAATGATGAGCTCCGTTGCGCCGTTGATGTAGGGCCTCTTGGCGAGGAGAAAGTCTCACATCGACTATGGCCAGAGAACGTCAGTCAACCTAGCGACGGAGACAAAGAGCCAGTTTCGGACACTCGTATCTCATCAGATCCGTTCTGTGCCGCAAGCTGCTTCCGTGGGGAAGCGGCAGCAGAGGGTACCATCGACCCAAATCTGAAGACGGTCTCGGGTACGCAACAGCATCGAAGCTACGCAACTTACCATGTCATCTATAAAGATGCCTCTAAGGCCTTTCTCCTCAAACCTAGCCTCAAACCGTCTGCCTACTACGGAAGGAGACCTGTTGCGAAGATTATGAAGGGGATGACTGTTGGCATTCCAGTTGTACGTGGCTTCGATCGTGCGGTCTGGGAGCGTACACATGACAAGAATCGGCCTCGAGAAGCCGCCCAGCAACCAGCTTCTTCCGCCACTAACACGATCGAGGCTGTCGGACAAGACGTCTGCCCGGCCTGCAAGGCCGAAAAAGAGCGCGGCCAGGTTACCGATCTCGTGTTGGTGGTTCACGGAATCGGTCAAAAATTTGCGGAGCGAGTCGAAAGCTTCCACTTCACCCATGCCATCAATGCTTTTCGGCGTGATGTTAACGCGGAGTTGGCGAACCCAATTGTCAAGGGAGTTTTAAGAGATGGCCAGAATGGTATCATGGTGCTCCCTATCAACTGGCGACATACACTATCGTTCGAGGAAGGCGGTCCAATGACAGAGGAAGACAAAGCACAACACGTGCCAGACGGGTTCAGCCTCAAAGATATCGAGCCTGGCAGTATTCCCGCAGTGAGGAGCATGATATCAGATGTGATGTTCGACATACCCTTCTATCTATCTCACCATAAGGGCAAGATGATCAACGCGCTGGTGACGGAGGCCAATCGCGTATATCGCCTCTGGTGCCGCAACAACCCCGGATTCGCAGATAGAGGTCGGACTCACCTCATTGGGCATTCTCTGGGTAGCGCCATGGCTATCGAAATTCTCTCTCGGCAACCCGCACGTGTTCCGTCACTAGACCTCTCAACGAGAATGCCGAAGCCCGACTTCTTTGAATTCGACACGAACAACTTATTCTTGGTTGGAAGCCCCGCTGGTTTCTTCCTGCTCTTGGAACGAGGCATGCTTCAACCTCGGCGCGGTAGGGTGAAGCCTGGAGCTGATCCCGCGGACATTAATGCGCCAGAAGTAACGGGCGAGGCCGGCCGATATGGTTGCATCGCCGTAGACAACATCTACAATGTATTGGCCAAGGAGGATCCCATCGCATACCTCCTGAATGGTACCATCGATCCGGTTTATGCAACCAGTCTGAGAACAGCACATGTCCCTTCAAGCGCCACCTCCCTTTTTAGATACGTTGGCAATGCAGTGAAGAGTCTTGTGCCCGGCGCAGCACCTACGCCAGCCACCATTGCCCCTCCTCCGACGCCAAAACCAAATTTTGCGCGCCTGCCTTCGCAGCTCGAGCTCGAGGTTCACGATTTCACGCGAGAGGAGATTGCAGAGCGAAAGGCCTATCTCCTTAATGACAACGGCCAGATCGACTACTACCTGAGGTTCGGCGGTGGGCCGTTGGAGATCCAGTACCTCAACATGCTTAGCGCGCATACTTGCTACTGGACGAGTCGGGACTTCATTCGCATGTTGTGCATGGAAGTGGGCAGGAAACCTGGCAGGGAGAACACGATACCTGCCATGAGAGCTCAAAAGGCGGCCAAGAGGCCGCTCGGGTGAAGTGTCATGAACAGCTCAGACCGTCTTTCTCAGATAGCTTCACGTACATAGATCACGATGTTTGATTACGCTTGGTGTAGTAGACAGTCCTATAGTTTCCTGGCATGTGAGGACCATGCAGGGGATGGTTACGATTTGAATTAGAGATGTCCAATTTGTTTAACCCCGTTTTCAGAGGCCTATATCCTCATCCGCACCGTCCCAGCGAAAGTGACGAATCTCTACCATCTCGCGCCTTGCACCAAAGTTGCTAGATGAATGATCTCAAAACCCGTCGTCAATCTCCATTAAGTCGTGGTCGAGGTCGTCATCCATGCCATACTCGTCACCTCCGTCGGCGCCGTAGCCATCCCCACCAGCGCCAACCTCCTCGAGCTCCTGGATTCGCTCCAAGTCCATCTTCTCCTTGTGCCTCATCAAGTCCTCATAACTCCAGGTGCTAACGCCTTCCTGGTCTTTTGCTCGGAACGGCTGAGCCATCTGCTTGAGGAAACGCCGGGCGCTGCTGACGGCCATGTCCGTGCTGACGTTTGTGTCAGCATCGAGCAGGCCCTGGTTGATCCATTTGGGTAGCTGCGTCCGCTTCTTCTGGAATCTGCGGTCTGCGAGGACCATGATGCCGTAGTCGTCCTTTCCTCTCAGGACTCGGCCGAGACACTGCGCGGCATGGCGCATAGCATCGAAGGATAGGAAGTCATTCTCGCGGATGCGATACGTTTCTCGCAGGAACTCGAGACGGGCCTTGAGGATGCGGGATTCAGTGTACTGGAACGGCACGCCTATACACAACACGGTTCGACCGTATTGGTGATCGAAATCGATGCCCTCCGAGACCTTGCCACGGGCGACACAGAGTAGTACGGCGCCGCGGCCGTTACAGCAGGCTGTCCGATATGTCTCTAGCGCGAGAGACGTCTCCTGTGCATCTGGTGTCTCGACCAGAATCAGCTTGTACTTCCAGACTTCCTCGAGAATATTCATGCCCTGCCACATGCTGATGATGGACTCCATGTACAAGTAGGAGGGGAAGAAGACGACCATGCCGTCTGGCGTGATTTTGGCGAATTCGGTTAGGAGAGTGCCGTAGTTTCGGACGACACTCGGCTCATTTCGGACCTGGAAACTGGTCGAGATGGAAGATTGGTCGCTTCCACGAGTGACGATCATTGGCAGGAACGATCTTCTGGCCAAGGTCATGCTGTATGACTCCTGTACAACGGTCGAGAACCCCAGCATCTTTGGATACATTTCGAGGGGTGAAATTGTTCCTGACGTGATGATGACGGAGCTAAATCTGTCAAAGACGGGCTTGATGGCGATGGCTGCATCGAGACACGTGAAATGCAGGACAGGGTTGGGTACCTCTGCCGTTTCTGACTCGAAAGGCTCGAGGATGAGCAGGAAACCTTTCTCGTAAGTCGCCACAAGCGTTGCGAATGTAGCAACTTCCTGCAAAGGTTGATAGTCCTCAATATTGGTAAGCTCGAGGGTCCGCACAAGCGACGTTAATCTTTCGGCGCAAAACCTCAGTGGCTTCTTTTCGATGAACGTGTATTCTCTGAGATGGGCGAGAAAAGATGGGGGCGTTTCTGATATCGTATGTCTGACCTTCATCCTAGTCTGGCGAGGGAGTGTTCAGCAACTGCATGCTTTACTCAGTCTATGAGTGTGTTGCCAACATACCTTGAGATACTCGATGAATCTCTTTAGGAAGGACACAAAGTGTTCCGCTCTCCTGATGTTACCCGGAACCGCCTCCTTGAGCAGATCATCGGGAAGTGCTTTGAATACATTAGTCCACATCAAGCCGGCGCGTGAGCTAGCAGATGATATCGCTTACCTGGGTTCGCCATGAAGGCATCTTCTTGCCGTGCTTCATCTGCGCCGCGAAGTCCTTCAACTAGTTTCTGGTATTCGTTTTGTAGTTGCTCTTGGTCAGTGTCCCTCATTTCTGTAATCTTCCGTTCCAAGTTCTGCGCGCCTCTTGTGGCTTTCCGTAGAGAGTCTTCTGTGATGTCTGTGCTGAGGGATTCGATGCAAACGTTGTCGATATTGTGAGCCTCGTCAAAAACCACGATACAGTCTTTTGAGAGCTCTCTTGATACCCTCTCAGCGATTTTGGGATCGAGTAGGTAGTGGTACGAGTAGATGATGACGTTGCAGAATTGCATCTATTCGAGGTCAGTGCCACTGTACCAAACAAAGCATCGTTTTCTAGTGACTAGTTCTTTTACCATGCGCCTTGCGGTGAAGTACGGACATTGCTTGTGTTGCTCGCCGTACTTCAAGAGGCCTTCGAACGTCCAAACTCCGTTAGGAATCAAGTTGTGCGGCTCAAGAAGGTCCAAGTTCTGGCACAAGTCAGTGACGCGTCAGATACAAGGGAGAAAAGAGGGCTGAAGACGAGACACACATCATGGTAGACACAAACGTCAACGTTCTCGCCCCGGTCTTTCTTCTCCTTGACAAAGCCTGCCGTCAAGCTTCGACAGCGTGCGTCGACGACGGAACCACTCTTCTCCTGTTTTACAGAGGGGTGAAGGCATAGGTTCTTTCGACTTGTCAAGCCGAGGCCACGAAACTCTTCCTCCTCGCCAAGTTCTTGTGCTCGATACTTCATGAGAGCCTTGAGCTCGGCGAGAGCCTTTTCGATCTCGGACATTGTACCTAAGAACACTTAGTTTCTGTACGGACGCGTAGAAATACAGACGAAATGAGCCTTACGAGAGCAGTAAATCAGCTTTCGGTGCTCGGGGTTGTGTTGCTGGTAGGCGACGATGAGCGAGAGTAGCGAAACCGTCTTTCCTGTCCCTGAAGGCATCTCCAAGACGCAATGCCCCCCTGCGTCCAGGGTCTCTGTGGATTAAGATAGCACGTCAGCAACGTCGTTCAAATTCCATTTGGACCAGTGCTCACTTTTGAGATCACACATGTATCTGAAGCCCACATTAGCATTTAGTAAATGTTTCACGTGGCCTGAAAGCCGCTCGCACAGGGCCTAACTCACGCATATTGCTCAGGGTAGATCGAAGGATATGGAAAAAGGACTGGTAATTCACTACGACCTCCATGTTAGTTGCGAGGCGGATCTTTTATGAATTGCGGACTGTGACTGACTCGATGAAGAACTTCATCTTGAGGCGGCAAGAGTGCCGCAGCTAGCGACAAGATCAAGTTGATCGTTCAACGCGAGTGCAAGAAAAGGCAGGAGCGATTCTGGATATTGAGAGAAGGTATTGATGGTCAAAGATATGTGTTGACGGATTGAGGCTGATTAATGGGGAGGTAGAGTGAATTGAGGAAATGGGCCCGGTGGATGAGTAAAGCTGGAGCGCGGTCACGGGCGCCAGATTCCGAAGCAGATCTCATCAGACTAGTGCAAGCTTGTGCTGTAGAAGCGGATCTACGGCTCCAATTGTTCCAGAGATGGTGGAGTTCGAGGCCAAGAAGGCGGTTGTGGTTGTAGTTGTAATCGAAGTCGTCAAGTGCGAAGCTCAATCGCCATCTTTTGCCGTACCGAAAAGTTGTCTCGATGAGTGACGTGAGGCGGACCCAGTGAACCTAAGGGATCAATCCCGACAGGCTACAGCTTCCCAGTCTTTGATGCCAAACAGTCGCGGCCTCACGTGACAAAGTCGCTTATGTCATCCCTGTTTGGTCATTTTCTTGTTTCGGGTTGGCTGGTGCTTCTTATCGTCTCCCAGGTTCAGTGCGCGCCGCGGTTCACAGAACAGTTGCGTTGGCACCTTTCTGCGATTCCTTCTCTCTGTCAATTACTACTTGGTCCCCTTTTTTTTTTGGTTCGTATCAAATTCCGGACCGCCTCGTGCATCCGCACGTCCCTGCGCGCAGACGTCAAACATGATGCTGGTTATCTGTACTACTTACGGCGTTCTGGAACCTGAACACCGGCCACTCCTATTGTGATTCAGCAAGCGGTGACTCTAGTGGTTTCAACACGCCCACCTATCGTTTGGATACCTTAGGTAGGATGTCTGACGGGATGGCTGACGAATCCGTCGGGAAGGCGGAGAATTGATCTTGGCTACCCGCCCGGCACAGCATAAGGCTGAGTGGAATCGAACACACCCTGCGTATCTGCGCGGCACATTCTCACTGTTAAGGATGAGGTGGAATGCCACGACAATAGGGGCCCAGGACGTGTCAGACAAGTTTCTGCGGCCAAGTGGCGTGTACCAAAAGGCCGACGCAAAGCTCACCACCCGTATGCGTATCATGTAGGCAGAGGCATGTGGAACGTACGACTTGATGTGGATCAACACTGAGTGCTGAACTGTTCTGAAAGTGCGATATTTGCTAGACATGCTTTCAATGGTCTACTACATACCCAGTCTTGCAAGTTCAATTTTCGCGACTTGGCTGTGTGCCAGGGTGAGACTTCCTTTCGGCACGTGTCAAAACTCGCTAGCACACGAGGAGGGCCTACCTCCATCAAGCTACTATTAAAGGGTCGCCTTCATGACATGGTTGGGGACCTTATGAACGCGATCACCATGCTGTCCTCGCCCCAATACGCTCAAGTATGGAAAGGACTTCGACATAGAGATATAGAGGATTACAGGTCATGGACGTTCATCAAGGCGTCAGAGCATACCGACCGTGATCCCAGCTCCGAACTGTTCCTTGAATGCTCGAGGGCACTTCTGTCTTTGCCCGCAAAACCTGATATAACATGGCCTTGCTTTGATGGTCTATACGTCGTTAGAGCCGCAATCCCATCTTAGCCTATCCGTACATTCGCATCTTAACAAGTCTTGCTTTCTGCTGTGAGTCGAGATTATGTTTGCGATCGCACCGAATTCCTACACACGGAAGCGCGACCTTGGCTCACACGGACTACAAGGCAGAGCTTGATGATGCGCTGCACGACGCCCATTTGTGGGAAGATCTAGGCCATTCATCGGCCACTTGCCGAGGCCGGCCAATGGCTTGGCAGCGCATGGTTGGGCTCGCTAGTGTCTTCACGGTATGCATCCGCTCGCTGACAACCTGGGAGCGGCCGTTGTAGGTAACCGTAGGTCACGAGGATCTCTTCGCAGTGAAGTGGGATTTGCAGGCCATTGGACGCAATCTCTTGACCGAGGTACAGTCAGCACTTAATCAGACGGCACTCCGGATCCTTTGTCAGTACGGATACTGGCGCGAAGGAGCGCAGATACTGCGTGCCGATTTAGGTGGCATGTTGAAGGGTCGGAAATTCGACTAAGCTCGCACTGCTCGGAATTGAGGTGGAATGCCTGTTCACCAAAGTTCCCTATCAAGCACCCACCTGGTTGCTCTGCTTACGCCCGGCTGCGGTCTCGCTTCAGGGGACCCTCGCTTCAGATTCGCAGACGCCAGACTGAACGCAGGGATGGTGCTCATTCGATGTGCACCTCGCAGTAGCGTACTGTACATGGTAACATGATAGAAAGCTGGAGGTCTGGGTATTGAGAGATCGCAAGGTCTCGTAGGGTCGGTTTAATTTGGCATCAATAGTTCCTGCGCAGACCCATTCTCATTTTTAGGTAGTCTGGGCAGACGTACGAATACTTGTCATGCCTACGTGCCGTCTTGATGTGTTCTGCACATGGCCGGATACGCAGGGCAAGACTATCGGAATCCTTCAAACCACAAAGACGATGGAAAGCAATGAAGGAAAGACTCAAGAGGATGCGGACTGGCACACCACGTATCACGAATACCGGTTCTCAGAGGGCCGTGTATAAAATTGTCTTGTCCTAGAGTTTCAGCCGGATTCCTAGCGCTAGGGCTTGAGCTAGGTACCGCAGCAAGAGGCTGGATTACGTCGTGGAAAGCCATCCGTGGAGTTTGGCAGCTGACAAGGTTCACTGCGAGAGCCAAAGATTGGAACCGCGGCCAGACTTTTCAGGGATACCGGTGCCAACATGGGGAAATAAGGAGGGGAGCAAAAGGGAGTAGGTCGACAAGGGAAAGTTGAGCACAGTTATCCTCAGCTCAGGGCGGATGAGAGATACAGGAAGTGGAAGGAGAATGGTTCCAGAATCAGGTAGACTGTTGACTACAGACACAGAACTAAGAGAGCAGTCAAAACTTTGCCAGACTGCCGCTAATCAACGAAGTTCTCCGTACAATCCACGCGGCACCCAGTCGTAGGTTTCCTATCACCTCACCTCGCCTCTGGCGCCACGAATTCGGGTACCCGTCGCGGGGCCTCAATGCCAACATGACGGGGCTATTTTCCTACGGGCATAAACACCGCGAGAGGGTCCTCTAGACAGTTTGGGAAATGAATGGAATGGGGGATACCGTTGGCCTCATCTTGACGGCTTCCATTCAACCCACAGAAAAGTACCTTGCAGAGCCTGAAGAGAGAAACCCAGTTGGTCGACGGAATGAGAGATACTACCTAGGAGGTATAGGCAGTAGGCGGCCGAGGGACGTGCTCCGTCCCCCCTGACACTGAAAGCCCTACGGAGTTCCACGAAGTCCCCCAAAGTACCTATGAAAGCACGACAGGCACGACCAGCCTCGCGGTGACCAAACATACATGCACCTGACTTGGATGGCACACGCCTGTCTTGATTTGGAACCCGGCCTTACTTTGATGGAAATTTTCTGTGTTGCCTCTACCTATCTTAGTATACCTACCTCACAGAAAATACGGATACCTCACACCATGCCCTTTGATAGCTGCCACGAGCAAGTCTGGATGGGGAAGAGGCATAAAAGGCGGGAGAAAAGGCAGGGTTGGGTAGATTTCTCCAGGGGCAGGCACCGCCTACCGGGCAGACTGATGCTACTCGTGGATCTTAAGAGACATGTTTCTCTTATACCTTAATAAGGTGACTCCTCCGAAGGCCTCATACTCAAGACGGAAAGCGTACATACGTAGTAGGGAGGTAAGTGCAAACGTGCCACGATGCCGGACTCACTCCAGCTCAACTATCGATGTCGAGTAAAGCATTTCAACTTATTAATGAAGTCTTACTATATCAGGTTTCAAAGCCCATAAGCATGATAGAAACCCTTCAATGAGGCTGCGTCTCCAAGCAGCGATGACTCCAGCAATAATCACGTCTGCATCGATCCCCAAGATGAACCGCTTTCAGTCTTGAAGGTCTATAACTCAATTCTGTGCAAAGCAGCCATGGATTCACGAAGCATTACGATGTCAGTTTGGGTTGCCTTATAGAGGACTCGGAAGTCTCTGCGAATATCTTCACATTGGCTGTGAAAGGTGAGGTAGATAGCCACATAGTCATTCTAACACGCCCACGGCCGAGTAGACTCCACACTTTGCCCGAAGAAGACAGGGATACTCGATAAGGTGCGCGCATTGGATGCTCGGCTGATTCATTCGAAGCCGTTGATTTAGATTTGTTGTGGATTGTTGGATGGGGGGCTTGTCGCATCCGTATTGCTGACGGCGCCATAGAAATCGGACTCTATGAAGACTAGGTCCAATACTATGACAATTGGAGACCCGATTGCTCCTGACTTCTGAGTCCTGACAAGAAGACTTGGCATTGCGATTGGCAGCAGGCATCCCAAGCCCAGCGTTGACGCCATGTATACGGGCGCGAAGGCGCGCATGGCCACCTATGAGAGCATGGGAGGAACAGGGTAATGAAGTGTCTGGGGGAGGGGGGGGGGGGGGACGCAAGGAGCAACGCTTAC